ATTTCTTTGTAAATTTAAGACTTTTAAAGAATTATAGTACTAAAAATTCTAGATATTTATTTTATAACTGTAGATATTTATTTTACAACTGTAGATAGATTAAAAAGAAGTTTTTCTATTCATAAAAGTTTATACACCTGTTATGAACTTATATATATAATCATTTTCAAAGCTATCAAAGTAGCGTATTTAGTATAAAATTTTACATATAGAATTATGTTAGAAGAACTCTATATCAATAAGCAATTAAAGCAATATAATATATAATATATAGTATATTATAATTTTTACTTTTTTCCATAAATATTTATTTAAATAATATAAAAATTTATATATATACTTAAGAGTATGATAAATAACTTTATTTAAGACTACTTGAACACTTAGCTTATTAAAATTTTTATAATTTATATTTTTAAAATTAAGAATTTTTAATAATAAGAAAACTTAAATAAATTATTATTTTGCAAATTAATCTTAAGTAAACTTATTTACTAGATTATCAAGTATATATATTTAAAAATTTTATATAATTTAAATAAATATTTATTAAATAACAAATAAAAAAAGATTAAAAAAGTATTTAAGTTTTTTATAATCAATTTTTTCAAAAAAAAATTTAATAAAAAATATTAATTATAAAAAATTTTATTAAGATAAGCTATTAAATACTCTTAAGTAAACTTTTTCACTAGGTTATCAAGTATATATATTTAAAATTTTATATAAATTAAATAAATATTTATTGAATATAAACAAAAATAGTAATTATGGTTTTTTTGTAATGTACTGTATTTCAAAATGGAATGTGAATTGTCAAGAATATTATCTAACATGTAAATTTTGTTTCCAAGTTAGGTTTACAATATTTTATTTGTCATCATATTATTATTGTTGTGGATTTTTATCTTATTTTATTATGAATTTATTTTTAAAAAGCTTGAATATATAGCTATATCTCTATATAAAATACCCTTTATAAGAACATCCTCTTTATAATAATATTAATGTTTGAAATTAGTTATTATTATTAAACTTTAAAAAAGCTCTTTAGTCAAATAAGACTTATTTTGTGTTGGTAAATATGAAATAGTTTCTCGCTGTAGTAAAAACAGAAAAATTTTGAGATCACATAACTGAAGATCATTTTCCAATCAAACCGGAGCATATAAATTATTTTTTTGGCAGATCACACAAAATTATATATTCTTTTGGTTCTTTTATCTTTCTCTTGGGGAAGAAATGCATTATTTAGTAATTACTCTGCACGGTTAAAATTTGAGCACATTCTAAATTGCTATTCTCATAGATTTATTAGTTTCATGACTCACTTCTTATTTGAATGCTTACTAAGAAGAAGCTAAGAGATTATGTGCTAATCACGCATTTGCTTTATCTTGTAAAAAAGTGAATAATAAATTGCTTTCTTACCAAAGATTGGTTGGTTTTATTTATCTGGTTGCATTGGTTTGTTATTTATTTTTTCTTTGCCATGATTCAAAAATTTTGATCAATTTGGACTAACTTGATTATTTGATAAAATTGAATTATTATTATTATAAGTAGAATATTATTCCTTCCACTTAATAAGTTTATGAATGCTCTTTCTACAAGAAAAAGGGTTTGTAAGTTCTATACAGATGTAACTTACGGATTCTTCAAAAAGGAAAGAAATATTTCTTTTTCTATCAATATCAGCATTTATTTCAGCTGTTATCCCTTTCTATACAAAAGAGCTTAATCTGTAAAATTAATCAATATCTTACTGATATTTTGTTATATTACTTGGATATGATTGTATATGATTCAGAAATAGATCAAGAAAAAGAATAGCATAAAAAATAGAGTACATTAAAATTATTTATTATTTTGATCTTCAAAAAAAGAGCTTGTAATAGAATAGAATTCAAGATAGAATAATGAATAGGTAAGAAGATTATATTTAGTAGAAAATTGCTAAATAAGACAAGTAACAGTTATATTATATATAAAAAGAAAATTTGACTTTTAAATAGCATTTGAGTATAACAATTAACACTAAATAATAAATATTGGTATATATTTATATATAAATATGAAAATAGAATATGAATAAGAACCTGATCAAGATCAAGAATTAAAGTCATTGCATTCATATAGAAATATCCATAATGATCATTATAATATAATAGAAATTTTAAAAAAAGAAAAGAAATTATGGAATTAAGGAAATTAAAGATATTTTAGTTGTATTATAATAATTGATATTTGATATTGATAAAATTTTAATTAGTTAATTAATAAATATTGATATATTTTTATATTAAAGACAAAATTATAAACATGAGCAAGAATCTGATCAAGACCAAGGATCAAAATCACAGCACCTACATAAAAATGTTCACAATGATCACCATATAATGAGAGACTGCTCAAAAAGAAAGGGTGGTAATAATATGAGATAGTATTAGTGATGAGTACGCATCTGAGAAAAATGTGTCTTAGGCTGAATCTTGTGCATGAAAAAGTAGATTGTAAAGGCAAAAAGGTGAAAAATTCATACATAAAAAAATTAAAAGCTTCATTAAAATAATAAAAATTATAGTTATTGTCTTCTTTATAAAATCTCTTGAAAATCTAAATTACATTATTTGTAATTTCTTTGTAAATTAGACATAAAGCATTTTCAATAAAAAAATAACTTACTTGTATCTTTTTTAAATTTATTGTATATTATGCCAAGTTTGTACTTAAAGCTGTGAATATTTCAAAATTGATTACTTCTCAAATCAAAACAAATATCTTGATAAAAATCTGAATTCTAATATAGATTTGTGATAATAAAAAAAATATTTTTATTATTTCATTTTCTTTATAAATGCATTCTATCAAACTTACCATTAATTAAATTTGGAAGAAAATTTTATATAGGAGTATACTATTTGGCACGTAGTTATATTAAGAGTTACTATACGGTTTGTCAAAAAAAGCTTTGAATTAGATAAATAAAAAAAGAAAATATCAACTCTGAATAGTGTAGCTCATAATATCAATAACAAAGAAAATAAATAATGTTTCTGCTGTAGAAAGACTAAATCAGTTGCTAAATTTATGAGGCAGTGTGAAAATAGAACATTAACATTTGCTATATATAATTCCTGTGCCAAACAAGATAGAAAAAATAAAAAAGATAAGCAGATTAAAGAAAAATTATCTGACAATAAAAATATTATAACCCTGCTCTTATATGATAGTATATCAATAAATGCTAATAATAACAAAAGCAATGATAATATTGAAAGTAATGATAATATTGCAAGTAATTATAATGAAAATAATGATAATAGTGAAAGTAATGAAGACAAACTATTTACATGTGTGATCTCGAAGAATGCATAACATAGCTATTGAATTTAGAAATTATGAAGAAAATAATGATCATGTTGAATTCTTTATAATAATAAAAATTGATTAATGAAAAAATTCTAACTTTAGAATTTGGTCAGCATAAAATTTCTATGGTAATAGAATGAATCTGTGTGAGTAACAAGCAACAATATTCTTGATAATTCACGAATATCCCACATATAAAAAAAAATGAATTTACTAATAAATGTTATAACATGTATACAGTTTACAAATAACTTTATGATGAAAATTTGATTAATCCATTATTACATACTATATAAACTCTTAAACATGAGATATATAACTGATGTAGTCAATCAAATAAAATTTATAAAGAATTTTTTCTGGAACAAAGAGAATTATTAAACAAGAGATATAAAGTTATTCAATCTCAGAATGCTTTTGTACATCTAGCTGAATTTGTTACTTCTTTCTTAAAAATTTACAGTTGGTGACATAAAGATTTGGAAATTTATTCATATTTATAAAAAATTTATTTACTTATTTTTTAATAATAAATTTTTTTTAGAATATAGCCAAATACATAATGAATATAATTACATAGCTACTAATAATCTATTTTCTCCCATTGTTGGCAATTAGCTTACTAATACGATTTTTCATGCTTTTTGCTAACTTAAGAAAGACATCAGGATTCATTCTTGTCAAATTATTTCTTGAAATTCATTAACAGATAAATTTTTTTTAATTATATAAATATTACAATGATCGTCATAAGTAATAAGAATTGAAAGTGATACAAACCGTACATAGAAAAAACTTGACTGTGTACAGCATGTACAGCCACATTTTAATGACAGTTTATTTATCAATATAACATAAAAATAAACCTAAAAAAAAAACAATCCTTAGTTTTCTCTCTTTTTTTTATTACAAATAAAAAAAACCTCAATTATTAACCAATAAGAGACTGTAAGTCACCTTTGGAAATGTGGTGTCTGTAATGCCTTAACTTTAGCAAAAAAAAGTAGTTTTCCCCTCTCTACAGTATACAAATATATCACTCAACTAAAAAAAATAATAAACTTAAGCCTATTTCTCACCTGGAATGTCCCACAATTTTAACTTCTCAAGATCGATGTGCATTAGGAAGAATCATTACAAATGACAAGTATCTTACCTGTGGTGAAATTACTACAAAACTTTAATCCAAGGTTGAAATATCTACATGAACAGTAAATTGTGAGCTTAATAAGTTTGGATATCATTCAAAACTTCCAAAAACCATGCCTCTGCTTTCAGAAAAATATCATCTAGCTTGAGTGGAATGGGTGAAAAAATATTGCAAAAAAAACTGGAAAATTATAGTATTCTCAGATGAAACCACATTTCAAATGTTCCAAAATACTATAAATGCATTTTACAAAGATGGAACAAGTATTTCACAGAAGAGAGTTCCAAAATATCCAGAGAAAGTTCATGTTTGGAGTGCATTTTCTGCACGTAGAACAATTAGCTTTTATATGTTTACCTAAAATATGAATATAGCATTTTATCACGAAATTTTAACTAATAATCTTTTTGAAAATGCACATAGAATTATGAGAGAATGTTGAGTCTTTCAATAAGATAATGATTCAAAGTATTAAGCTATGGAAATGAAAGCATTCATTCATCGTCAGGTTCCAAAGCTTCTTGAATGGCCATCCTATAGTCCTGATCTTAATCCAATAGAAAATCTCTGGGCAATTATCAAGAAAAGGGTGGAGAAACGAGTCAATAAAATAGTTCAAAAAGAAAAATCGATTAGTATTAGTCATTGGCATGGATTAATTAGGAAGGAATGGAAGGATATTACCGTGGACTTGTGTCTTAACCTGGTAAAGGGAATGTCAAGTCATGTAAATGAGGTAATTGAAAATGATGGAAAAAAAATAAACTATTAATGTATATACATTTTTTGAATACCTATGTTTGACCTACATTTCTGTAAAACTATAAGTCAAATGAATAAAATTTGCAAAATTTATGGTCATAATAACGATTCTCGTTACTTATGATGATCACTATAACCTTTTTTTCAACTTTTTGTTTAAGTATTGTCATAAATTCTCAATAGGATTCAAATTGGGAGAGTTTGCAGACCAATCAATCACACAAACCCAATGTGCTTCAAGAAGATTTTTTGTATTGCCAGCAGTGTGAATGGGAGAGTTATCCTGTTGAAAATACCATTTGGAACCAGTTTTATAGGCATTTGAAAACAGATAGGATTCAAGAATTTTGCAGTATTTGTGACAATTTAAATTTTCTGTAAATAAAAATAATGTGATCAGTCCCCATAAAGAAAATACACCCCAAGCATGAACTTTGTACAGATGTTTTACCATGGGTTGACATGGACATTGATCTCCATAATGATATCGCACTAATAAAGTATTCTGGAACATTTGAAATGTGGTTTCATCTGAAAAAATTGTTTGGTTCCAGTTATCATTGATATGTTTTTGATCCCACTGAAGACAAGAAGCAATATGATCTTGCTTGAGAAGTGGAATGCCTTGTGGTCTATAAACAATATATTTAAGGTTTTTTTAGAGTACATTGAATAGTACGAGTAGATACGTTAAGATTGGATTAATTTTGGTAAGTCTATTTTTCATTTCAAGTGTAGAAATTGCTCGATTGGTTTGAATAAGTTGGCCCAGATGATGACGATTTTGAGCGGAGAGAATGGGAGGTCTTCCAGGAATAGAACGAAGTATAATTTTGCCATTTTCTTTGAGATTTTTAACAAGATCATAAATAGTGGATTTGGGATAACCTGTGATCTTTATGATTTCAGCAGGTTTTCGGATATTATTTTCCCATAATTCACTTACGACGGTTCTTTGTTTCTCAAGAGTAGTGTTACGTGACATTGTTTATTAACAAGCGCTAATCATAACAAATAAAGTTGGTATAAATTTATATACATTAGTATTATAGATCATAAGATGTTATATAGTGAAAACAATTTTAAAAATAATGCAAAAATGACTTACCTACGATATTTTTTGTGTATCACAAAAAAGTCCGAATCTTTATGTCGCCAACTGTACAAGGTAATATTAGCATAATTATTATTAATTCAACATTCAAAACGAATCAGAAATGGTTTGTACTCTTTACAGTTAATATCAGTTATGGTGGATACGTGTTCCCCTTGCCTATTTATACATAGATACAAATACAGCATCAGATTAATAGCTTTCGAATCCCAGCAACAATGTATGCACATAAGTTGATATGCTTAAGAAATTTTTTATTAGCTTGCGAAATGAAGATGTTCTGCCAGTATTTGTGCTTTTGGACAAAGACTCGGGAGAAATTACTGCTATATAGGAGGCTTGTTCTGAAATAGCAATAATCCAACTTTATCTTTGGCATCTGTGCATGCGATCGAGTGAAAACTAAAAGAAAAAAATATGAATAAATCAGATATTCAATGCAAAAAGCAAATGATCCGCATCTTAAATTTAATTTTATAGTTATAACTTGGTTTCTTAAAGAATAGCAAATAATATATATACCAACGAATTTAGAAAAGAGCTATTAAAAATAACTACAAAACACGTCCACTTATAGCTGTAGATGAAAATATTTTTCTTATAGCAGAAGAGATTCGATATCAAAATGTTTTGAAAATTTACCAATCCTATCATCAAAAGTCTCTTGTAAACTTGTGGGGATATTTATAGCCAAATTGGTATAACGTGAAGGATTAGATTTTATTTGCACGGACAGCTTATCTAAAAGCAATGTTTATTACAAGAACTACAATGATCACAGAGTTACATTGGCATATTTTGAAATGCAATTACAAATATTACTATAATCGATCACGTCTAGATCATCAAACACAAATTCTCACAAAAGAACCAAGTTCCAATATGAAAAATACTTGTTGAAGATTCTATTAAACCATGATTTTTCCTCATAGGGGAATGTGTTCAAATATGATTGAAAATCTGCCATAGAAAAAGATATAAATATAAAAAATCATAATCATATTGATATAAATACTTGGCTTGGATTTGCTCTTATCCTATTTTCTTTATCTGCTATACAAACATTTAGTAAAGAAATATTTCACGGAAAATTCATTTTTTTCCTCGATTTCTTACTACTATGCATCGTTATTACTATCCATTTATTATTTTTGATAAAATAAATCTTCTGAGAATTAACTCAAACAATAATCCTTGGAATAACATATTATATAATATAATATAGAAATCAAGTCTGGATCGCTGACATCAAGCAATTATAATACGAGTGTTTCTGAACATCATATAATAATTAAAATAGAAAAGCAGAGCTAATATCAATATTTGAAATGTTAATAAAAATTATAAATGATAAGATTGAAAATAAGCTTTATAAAATATATACAATCCTTAAACAGCCTCTTGTTGCTGAAACAACTGCATGTAATAAAGTTCTTAATGCAAGAATACAGTAACAAAATCTGGAAATCATCAAAAAATGGAAATTAGCTTTTTGGTTGTACAAATATTTTGTTAAATCGATTATTTACATTTATATACTATATATTATAAAAATTAGAATATTTTTTATTTTATTAATTCGAATATAAATTAAATTTATGCCTATATATAGTTAAATTAATACAAATCGATCAAAATTTTTGAATTACAGCAAAGAAAAAAAAATAACAAACCAACCAACCTTTGGCAAGAAAACAATTTGTTGTCCAGTTTTTTTCTTACAAGATAAAGCGAGCATATAGTCTCTTAGCTTCCTTCGTTCAAAGAAAAAGTGAGTTATGAATCAATAAATCTATAAGAGTAATAATTTCAAACAATCTCAAATATTTAACCCTGCAGAGCAGCCACCAAATAATGCACTTCTTCCAAACTTCTCATCGAGTAAAAGGAGAATATGTGTAAAAAATGATCTGCCAAAAAATAATTTACATGCGCTCTGGTTGCTCCGGTTGGGTCGGAAAATGATCATCAGTCATGTGATCTCAGATTTTTATACCATTACTTTACTATTCCGTGAATAGATACAATTTTACATAATATTTATAACAAATACGTGATTTTACTGAATATTTTTAACAAATATATGATTTTACGTGAATATTTTTAACAAGTAATGTGTAGTCAAATATTTTATTAACAAAGTGCAAAGTAAAAAAACATTCACATGCATTGAATAAGTATATTATATGATCATTTTTCTCATATATATATTGCTTCGAATCAGTACACACATTGATATGTCATCGTTGATCGCATTGCATACGTATTTCTGACTTTCTGACCTAAAAGACATCATCAAAGCAAAGAAAAAGGTTAACTTTACCCATGTTGATGCTAACAGGCTAAAGTTATGGAATTGCAAGACAGCGATTAACTACTAGATAAATGCATCTTCAAAAATGCATACCCACATAATTATTTCGCTATCAGTAAGCATTAAGAGCTGATATTTCTTTTTTTGTATTCCTTGTTAAATTAAAAAAGCAGATATCGATCGCGTGCATTCATCCAACCCACCCGTACGTGTTTGTAGAAAAAAGATGTCGGGTCATGTGCTTTTTTAATGAATAATCCAATCAAATTGCAAGAACATGTGTATGAAAAAATTCAAAAAAATAACTGGTATCTCGAAATTTTTCTATGAGACATTTGTATTTTAACAAAAAATGTTGCTTGCAAAATTTCACTTTAAATATATGCGCCCGATATAATCTTAACGCCGACTCTATACTCAATCCTAACCGAAATGTTATTAAAATTTTATATTTTGCGATTTGATTTTTAAAAATCACATGATCCGACACCTTTTTTGTCATGGCTAGAATTCTAACTAAATGTTAAAACAATTTATAATATACTAATATACTTAAATTATAATATTTATATAAAGTCAAAAAATTATCAAAGTGCTAATTAAAATGATTAATCCCAATTAGAATATATTTTTTCAAAATTGAAAGATTCAACCATTTCAGGCGCTCGATCATGGCCATTTTCTTTAGACTTTTGATACCACTTTAATGCTAAGTCAAGATTTTTCGAAATGCCAATTCCATATTGATAAAACTTTCCAACATTAAATTGAGCCTTATTGTGCCCGAAGTCAGCAGCTCTTAAATACCAAGCAAATGCTTTTTTATCATCTTTGCTTGTCCCTTCTCCATATTCATAACATTGTCCAAGTCGAAAATGGAAGTGTGAATTACAATTTTCAGATAACATTAAAAGATATTTAAATAAAATTCCCTCCATTTCTTTTGTAATTGTATAACTAAATCTTAATAAAAATCGACTTCTTTCATGACCAGAATTAGCAGATTTTAATAGAGACACATATGCTTTGTCTGCATCATTTACTAAGTCCATACCACATAATAAGGCAAGTTTATCTTGTGCATCAAGATGTCCTGATTCTACTGCTTTCAAGTACCACTCGAATGCTTTTTGTTCATCTTTGGTTGTTATATCTCCAATTTCATAATGAAGAGCAAGAATGTATTGTGCGTTAATTTGTCCCAACTCCGCTGCTTTCAAGTACCACTCGAATGCTTTTTGTTCATCTTTGGTTGTTATATCTCCAATTTCATAATGAAGAGCAAGAATGTATTGTGCGTTAATTTGTCCCAACTCCGCTGCTTTCAAGTACCACTCGAATGCTTTTTGTTCATCTTTGGTTGTTATATCTCCAATTTCATAATGAAGAGCAAGAATGTATTGTGCGTTAATTTGTCCCAACTCCGCTGCTTTCAAGTACCACTCGAATGCTTTTTGTTCATCTTTGGTTGTTATATCTCCAATTTCATAATGAAGAGCAAGAATGTATTGTGCGTTAATTTGTCCCGACTCCGCTGCTTTCAAGTACCACTCGAATGCTTTTTGTTCATCTTTAATTGTTCCTTTTCCATTTTTATAATGAAAAGCAAGACTGTATTGTGCGTTAATTTGTCCTGACTCTGCTGCTTTC